AGCTTCTTTTATTCTCGTAAGAATTTCATGAAGCCTTCTCACCAAGGGTACCCACACCGGAATTTCCAGGAAGAAATAGAGTTTCTTAATGCAATTTTCCCAAGTAAGTCAAGTAGATTTTAAACTGATTTTGTTTTCAAAGTGAGAGGGTATAACAACCTTTGAGATGTTGTCTATATAAACTATATCTTTATGTGTGCATGTAAAGAGTGTTTTGTGTATAAGCAGTGTGTGTATGGGTGTAACACTATACATATATTCTGCCACACTGTTATTTTTGACTTGCCCGGATATGTTATCAGTGGTTGTGTGATCATTAATGAATGAGTAGACAGCTTATTACAGTTTTAATTATTTGCATTTTAAAAAGTTATTGTGTCTGTAGTCCTACCTACTCAGTAGACTGAGGTAGAGGAATCACTTAAGCCAGAATAAAAATTGTGGAATTGACTGCCTACATTGGCTTCCTGTCTGTATGTATAGCACAGGGATAGTTCACCTTTACCTAGCCAGTATCTCTTAATTTGTACCTGATTCAGGAGTTGTTCTTACCATGCCTATCACAAATAGCTTGAGACAATATGAAGAAAAGTAAGATCCCATCTAGAAATATGCCTGTGGCTTAACAAATCTGTATTGTTAAAAAAAAAAATTAGCCCACTTAGTATGGTAATGCACACTTTATACTTCCAGCATTCTGGGAGGCTAGGGCAGGAGAATCAAAAGTTCAAGGCCACCTTGGGCAGTTATAACATCTTGAGAAGATCCTATCTAAATTAAAAAGCACTAGGGCTGGTGAGATGGCTCAGTCAGTGGTCTAAAGTACCTACTTAGAACAAGCTTAGCAAAGCACAGGGACCGAGGTTCAATCCCCCAGCACCACATGCCAGCCAACCCCGCCCCCTGGTGGGCTGAGCTGGCCACACACACACACACAAATAAATAAAAAATTTAAAAAAAAAAATGAAAGAAGTGAAGGGAAAGAGAGATTTTACTAAGTTTTTAATTAACAATTATTAAAAAAAGATTCTCTAATTTTGCACCTTCTCAGATGAGACAGAAAAGCTATGATAAGTTATTAGCTTGTACACTCAGGCATGATTTTTTTTTTTTTTTTTTTTTTTTTTTATCAGGGTGTCGAGGCTGTGACTCAGTGGCACAGTGCCCTATTGCAGTGTATGAGGGGTTTGATCTCTGGCACCACAAGAAAAAGGAAAAATCTGCCTTCCTCCTTAGTAACTTCCTCCATCTAATATAAAACCTAGTAAGACTGTATCAGAGTCGTGGGCATTTAGTGCTAATAGCTTCTAAGTGTTTGAAACTGCACTGTAAGGCCTTGCAATAGTAGTGGAAAGGAGAAAAAATTACTGTGGCGGTGCACACCTGTAGTCCAACCACTGGGGAGGCTAAGGTGGGAGGATTGCTGTGAGTTCTAGGCTAGCCTAAGCTACAAAGTGAGACCATGTCTCAAAAAAATTAAAATTGTGGTTGGGGAGATGGCTTAGTAGAATAAGTGCTTCCCTGGCAAGCGCAAGGGCCCGAGTTCAGTCCCTGGTTCTGCCCACAAAAAAAAAATTAAAATTGTTTTTGCATTCTCTTTCCTCAACAGATGGAGCAGCATATTGTATGGGACGTATGAATTCTGACTGTTGGTATGTTTGCAATTTTAAGTTTATTGTTGTCCATACAAAATTCATTTTAGACTTGAATTGCCATTTTTAGAAATTTTTTTGTGTATATGTAGGTACTTGTATACTCTGGATTTCCCAGAGAGTCGAGTAATCAGCCAACCAGATCAGACCCTGGAAATTCTGATGAGTGAGCTTGACCCAGGAGTTATGGACCAGTTCTACATGAAAGATGGTGTTACTGCAAAGGATGTCACTCGTGTAAGTGGTTTCATTAAAATTTGTCATTGCTAGGTCCCTTTTTATATCATTATATTTTTTATTTTTTATTTATTTATTTATTTATTTAAGATTAGTTTATTTCAGTCTTTTCTTTCTATAGGAGAGTGGAATTCGTGACCTGATACCAGGTTCTGTCATTGATGCCACACTGTTCAATCCTTGTGGGTATTCAATGAATGGAATGAAATCAGATGTAAGTAGTTAGATCACACTGCAGTACTTATGTTAATACTTAGATATGCTCTTATTTACTAACCCAAAGTTGTTTCTCTAAGGGAACTTATTGGACTATTCACATCACTCCAGAACCAGAATTTTCTTATGTTAGCTTTGAAACAAACTTAAGTCAGACCTCCTATGATGACCTGATCAGGAAAGTTGTGGAAGTCTTCAAGCCAGGAAAATTTGTGACCACCTTGTTTGTCAATCAG